TAGATAGGTAGATAGATAGATAGATAGATAGATAGATAGATAGATAGATAGATAATGAACATACTGTATTAGATAGATAGATAATGAACATACTGTATTAGATAGATAGATAGATAGATAGATAGATAGATAGATAGATAGATAGATAGATAGATAGATAGATAATGAATATATTGTGATACATACATGTTCAAAACCGATTCCTATTATATTTTTGCAGCCGATTCAATGATACATTGTAATTATGCGAAAACTTATGCTTTCTGCTGTCGATATTTTTCTTTCGCTTTGATTCTCGGCTCCTGTGTGCGTGTGTGCGCACGCGCACGATTATGCCGCTGAAACAGCAGAAATATTGCCGACTACGCGAGAGGGAATAGATCAAATATGAAATGCTGATTTTCGGGGCAAACGTGTCTTTTCTTGTCAATCTGTTCATTCTATACATCAATATATCTATCATTGTTTATCCTTGTTCATTCATATGTATACTACGAGCTTTTGCTCATATCTATCATTGATATTAGTTTGTCTACATGAAACAAATAATCCCCCGACTCCGATGACATGTATGTATGCCTAGTATATGCATATCTATCTATCTATCTATCTATCTATCTATCTATCTATCTATCTATCTATCCCATGTTTATTTTCTATTTATTTTCTCTCTCTCTTTTTATATATATATATATATATATATATATATATATATATATATATATATATATATATATTCTAATATATATATATATATTCTAATATACATATATATATATATATATATATATATGTTTATTATCTATTTCAATATGTTCACCTACTATCTATCCCAATATGTTCATAATCTATCTATCTATCTATCTATCTATCATCTATATTATCTATCTATCTATCTATCACTCTGTTAATATCTAAATCTTCTCCTTCTTATATATATTATATATATATGTATATATATGCATACACACACACACACACACACACACACACACACACATATATATATATATATATATATATATATATATATATATATATATATATATATGAAGGAATAATTTCAATATTTCATTCAGATAACTGTACCTTAAGTGGCTTTTAGCATTTGCTTATAGGAATATACTTGCTGAAAGATATTATTTATGAACATCTAAATTAGCTATTCATTGACTTTCATAATTATGTAGTTTAATCTATTGATATCAACTCTTTTATCGTTTATATATATATATATATATATATATATATATATATATATATATATATATATATATATAAAAGGCATCTTGAAGTGTATGTCATATAATTAATGTGCGCATATTTTATGTTATTATTAAAAATGCAACTATAACGAATTAATAAAATAATATTAAATAAATAAATTCCATTCTTTTTGTGCGGCCTTTATGACTGTTACACATGAGATCACGCCAAGAATATCTGGATGCAGACAATGGAATTCTATCTACCGCACATAGACCACAACTGTTCTTGCTAATGACTATATACATATATATATATATATATATATATATAGGTAGATAGATAGATATAGATTGAGTATGCATAGGAATCTGACAAAATGATAGGTTAACGAACCACTAGGAAACAGATTTTAATCTAACATTTTTTCTTTATTAAATCTTCGTCAGGGATCAAGATAGAAATTTTGATCTCTGACGTAGTTTTAATAAAGTGAAACATGTTACTTCTGTTTCCTACGTGTTCTTTATCCGATCATATATATATATATATATACATACATACACACACACACACACACACACACACACATATATATATATATATATATATATGACCAGCCATATACGGAGCCATACACTGACCTCCAACTGAATATAACTGACAAGTATAAATCTATCTCAACCGATTTATATCTTCAGTCTGTTCCTATCTATCTATCTATCTATCTATCTATCTATCTATCTATCTATCTGAGTCTGTTCATATCTATCTATTCATACACAAATTTATATATAAATATATATATATATATATATATATATATATATATATATATTATATATATAATGGCATTATGTAAAAGACTAAAAATAATGGAAGTCTTATTAATAAAAACAAAAAAAAACAACACTCAATAATATCATCTATGAACATGGACACACAATATGTTGACCGTGTTTTGAAAAGGAAAACATTATATAAATATATATGTACAACAATCCATTTCTTATTTAACAGTTTTTTTTAACCTTGAAAATGGCTAAATGCGTAACTGAAAGCGCTCGGAAAACAACATTTGGACAGTTTTTTGTATAACTTATCTAGTGAAAAGTAAAAATTATAAGATCACATGATAAATTATATAAAAAAAAACTTAATTTAACACCTTGTGTTTGAATTTATTCTATATTGATGGTAAACTGGTTAATGGCATGAACATTATTTTGAAGCATGAAACTGACTGTCAAAAACGGTGTTGACCTCAGTATTATACTTACATACATACATGTTTATTTTTATCTGTTGCGAACTATTTTCCTGATTTCTGGTGATAGTTTATATATATATATATGGCATTCATATGACAAACATTTTTATTTATGCATTTTTTTGTTTTATGCTAGTTACATTGTTTATATTGTATATATATATATATATATATATATATATATATATATATATATATATATATATATGCATGCACATACACACATATATATTCAGTTGTATGGATATGCGTTTGTAACACCAGGTTTCACGCTTTTGATACCATCAAACAAACTGGGTTTTTAAAAAAAAAATGGATCTGTTTATACTTATTTGTGTTTGATTATTTGTGTGTGTTGCAGGGGGGGGGGATTTTCTTCCGTGTTTGCTTAGGATGACGCCCTTCGCATCCATAGATACACATGCATACTGGTGTATGTATTTTACTCTGTACAAGCACACCCATACAAATAATCTGAGGTTAGGCGCAGATACACATTCCTGCATGTATCTGCGCCTATAGGGATGCATATCCATCCATGTTAGCTTTATCACAGATATTGAACCCTTTCCACTAGGTACCGCATGAAAACACACACATACACGCATATATATATATATATATATATATATGTATATATATGTAAATAAAGAACAGTAAGATATATAATCCGGTGTTCTTATAGATATTTTTACAAAATAGTGCTCAATGTAAATTTACAGGGTATTAATATTATAAATTAATTGATTTAAAATATGTTTTTCGCTACACAGTTCTAACCATGTTTCAAAAATGGAAGCTAAAAGCTTCGAAGTTAATTTTGTAATTAGATTAAAAACTTAAAAACATTAGTTCCATTTCATCTTCAAGCGAATTTTGGAGTAACTTATTTTCAAAATTACTGGGTTTTAAAGGCACTGCAAAAATTCATAATTCACGTTTCCAAGGATACAGAGAAATCCATTCAACCAGACAAGGGGTGTCTGCGTGTTCATTATGTCTGTATTTTGATGTATCCGTTATTAGTTACGTTTTGATAGGGGTAGGGATGTATTTTTCAATGAATTCTGACATCCGTTAAATGCATGTCGTCTGGATTTTTTTTTTTAAATTTATTGTTAACGGCAAAAATTCTTACGGCATTTTTTTCTATTTGTATACTTAAAGATTTTTGTGGGTGTTTAGGTTAGAACACGTTTTATTTAACTACAATTTGAAAAATATTTTCACTTTTAATTTTTAATATACTATATTTCTTTTTAAAACAAGTAAATCTATTAGAATCACTTACAGCATGTAAAATTATTTTATATATATTTGTGTGTGTTTGTGTATGTGTGTGTGTATGCATTGTTTTTCTTTTGTTGTAAAAAATACATCTGCTCTGTTATAATAAATACATCGAGCTCTCTGTGGATCAGTTTTAATAACTAATATTACTAAGATCCACCCGGATTTATAACAACGGATTGATTACCTATATATATATATATATATATATATATATATATATATATATATATATATATATATATATATATATATATATAACGTCTAATGATCGCTTAAACAGTGCAAATGCTAATCACCGTACTTCTATGCTCATCTTCTTCTATGTGCCATGTCCGTTCATAACGTTGGAGATCATGGCCCTCCATATTCTTGTACTTTGTAGCTCTTAATAACTTTTGTGTTTTTGCCATCCCTGCCAAAACCTACGTCATCCATTCACTCAAGTTCGCCAGGGAGGTTGCACGTTGCTTTCCTGTGGATCTCTTTCTTCAATCTGTCCTATGTGTATCAGATTTTCCTCATTATGTGTCCTAGAAATGTATCTACAAACGTGCCATCTCCGATACAGAGCACTAAACTCTCATAGATATATGGCAAATTTTAAATATCTATCTATCTATCTATCAATCTATTTATCTATCTATCTATCTATGTATTTCAGTCTATTCATATCTCTCTACCTTTCTATCTCCGTCTATTCATTTTCTATCTATCTATCTCAGTCTATTCATATTTATCTGTCTATTCATTTTCTATCAAGCTATAAATCTCAGTCTATTCATATCTCTCTACCTTTCTATCTCAGTCTATTCATTTTCTATCTATCAAGCTATCTATCTCAGTCTATTCATATCTATCTATCTATCTATCTATCTATCTATGTATTTCAGTCTAGTCATATCTCTCTACCTTTCTATCTCAGTCTATTCATTTTCTATCTATCTATCTATCTATCTATCTATCTATCTATCTATCTATCTATCTATGTATCTCAGTCTATTCATATCTCTCTACCTTTCTATCTCAGTCTATTCATTTTCTATCCATCCATCTATCTATCTATCTATCTATCTATCTATCTATCTATCTATCTATCTATCTATCTCAGTCTATTCATATCTCTCTACCTTTCTATCTATCTCAGTCTATTCATTTTCTATCTATCAAGCTATCTATCTCTGTCTATTCATATCTATCTATCAAGCTATCTATCTCAGTCTATTCATATCTATCTATCTATCTATCTATCTATCTATCTATCTATCTCAGTCTATTCATATTTATCTGTCTATTCATTTTCTATCAAGCTATCAATCTCAGTCTATTCATTTTCTATCTATCAAGCTATCTCAGTCTATTCATATCTATCTATCTATCTATCTATCTATCTATCTATGTATTTCAGTCTAGTCATATCTCTCTACCTTTCTATCTCAGTCTATTCATTTTCTATCTATCTATCTATCTCAGTCTATTCATATTTATCTGTCTATTCATTTTCTATCAAGCTATCAATCTCAGTCTATTTATATCTCTCTAGCTTTCTATCTATCTCAGTCTATTCATATCATCTATCTATCTATCTATCTATCTATCTATCTATCTATCTATCTATCTATCTATGTGTTGAACCACTTGCATGCCTGTCTCTAAAAACGCATTTCAATCATTTTGTGAGAGAAGATCAGAACCACTTTGACCGTCTATGAATATTTTTGTTTTTGCGAATGTTTACATCCTCCCACCCACATTTTTTATAGACGAAGCAAATTTCTGTTTTTCCTCTTTATCGTTCTTTCATTGTTTGAAAACTTTCAATAGCTGCAGACCATAATTTCAAATAAGAGGCTATGCATTTATTATTCTTATTTTTTTTACATTGGTGTTCACCCTATGCAAGACTTGAGATCCACTCAAGGTAGATGTTTACAGAATAAGAGATACAGCCTATGCGGATATGTGCGGAAGATAATGGTTAACCCTAGACTTGAACTGGCTAATATTTTAGTGATCGGGAAGCAACCTCTTGCAAATCTGTTCCACAAGGTAGGGATTCGTGAGAAGAAACTGCTTAAATGTAACTTATGTCTCACCAGGGCAATACGAAGGGAATGAGATGTGGTTCGCTACACTGGGCGTGGCATTGCGGGCCTTAGCCATGAAGGTTTGAACTGGTGGAACTAAAAAATGTAGTTGGTCTGAGCACTTTCCACGGAGATAACGATAGAGCAGTGACAGGCTTGCGACGTCTCGTCTGTGAGAGAGGGGTTTTAGGATGGAAAATAATTCATCACCCACAAGGACGCGGAGACACTTTTGGTCTCTATCGGGAGCGGAAAGTGAAGACTGGACTGTTCCCGCCCATATATGACAGCAGTACTCCCTCTTCGACTTGATCTGAGTCTTGTAAAGTTAGAAGATAGCAAGAGGTGTAGGTACTTACTGGAACGGGACGGAACCGACCATTTTTCGAGAACATTTAGCGATGGATTGTATGTAGGGGTTCTAGTTGAGGTCTGGGGTGAGTTTAAGCCCCAGTAGGCTCTCAAGGCGCGTCGCATCCCTGATAGAACGTCTGTTCATTACGATTGCTGAAAGTTCTGGGTCCGACAAAATTTTCCCTATTTATTTTATATAAATAGGAATTCTTCTCATTCGCTACGTTAATTTAAAGTTTTTTTTCTTTTTTAATTGATTGATTTTAAATTAATTGATTACTCCAAACGTGTTTTAGGTTGAGTCAGAAATAATTTCCGTTTTCGTTCACCAACTTCTTTCTTCAAGAATACAGTACAATTCCATTTAATTCAATTATTTTGAAATGTATATATTTATATTATTATTATTATTATCATTATTATTATTATATATTATTATTATGTATATATATATTTATATTTGAAATGAGTTTCCACTTATCAGGTTCGACTATCGTCTGGGTCGCACTCCTCCACGAGCTTTTGATCAGGGGTTTTATATTTCCTTTCTAGAAATGATTTTAACGGTTCTGCCTAAATCTCTGAAATTTTTCCTCACTAGAAGTAGAAAACGCTATCTTGTAATGTTGGAATTTCATTCCGGTGATCAGCGAAAAGCCTTATCGCACGGTTATATAAAATCTATAATTTACTGAATCTTTACGAATTGTATATGCACAAGATGCGTGGCACAAGCTCATTATTACTAAATCATTGTGCCATCAACTAAGATCTTCATTTGCTTCAAAAGAAAATTATACAGAACAATTTAGTTATATTATGATGTAATATGTTATACAGTTCAGTAGCTTTAGTGCGATTTTCAATAAACAATGCAAATTTAATACATTTTGTCTTGTAATTTTTGCCCAGGCAGTATTATGGGATTATATACACTTTTATCTATTTTTTTTAATAATATGACTGAATAAAAGGTAGAAGATCTTATTACTTGAGTAGCCTTTTGTCCATATACAATTTGTGAAGTTTCAGTAAATTATAAATTTTATAAGACAGGGGCCGGCAACCTTTTGCTAACTATGTACTGACTTAGGGTTTTAAAATCATTCAGTGTGCCAACAGCATACGTATTTTTATACAAGTCAAGATCAATATACCTGTTATACAATATATTCTATATAGTAATATATAGTATATATATACTTTAGTATATATTAAAATTGAAACAGTTAAATATCTTCTTTGTATTGTAGTAGTTATTGGTTCGGACTTCGTGATGTCATTTGCGGTTGCGTGCCATTGGAAATTGCTTGGCGTGCCACATGTGGCACGCGTGCCGTAGACTGCCGACACCTGCTATAAGGCTTTCATTGATCATTGCAATGAAATTACAACGCTAATTTTGACACTTAATCTGCAAACACGTTTCCTCAAAAACCGGTAAAGATTTGGAAAATATTTTTTGAATCTTTATTTATCATGATAAATAAAGATACAAAATATATGAAGTAATCAATTCATTTAAAATTAATTAATTAAAAAAAAACTTTAAATTAACGTAGCTAACGAGAAGAATTCCTATTTATATAAAATTTGTCGGACCCAGAACTTTCACCAATCGTGATGAACAGACGTTCCCTCAGGGAGGCCCCGTACCTTGAGAGCCTATTGGGTTCTAAAGTCATTTCAGACCTCAAGTGGAACTCGTACTGACGATCCATCGCTAAAGATGCACAAAAAATGGTCGGATCCCTGTCTCGTTCCAGCAAGTACCTACACCTCCTAATGTCTTCTATCTTTACAAGAGTCAGACCAGGTCTAAAAACGAGTAATGCTGCCATCTCACCTCTGACCTAACTCTCACATATCAATGAGAAAATAACTGGCTGATTTCATTCTCCAAATATCTTGATGACCAGAGCTTGACAGCTGATCTCTCCTCTGACCTAACTCTCACATATCAATGAGAAAATAACTGGCTGATTTCATTCTCCAAATATCTTGATGACCAGAGCTTGACAGCTGATCTCTCCTCTGACCTAACTCTCACATATCAATGAGAAAATAACTGGCTGATTTCATTCTCCAAATATCTTGATGACCAGAGCTTGACAGCTGATCTCTCCTCTGACCTAACTCTCACATATCAATGAGAAAATAACTGGCTGATTTCATTCTCAAAATATCTTGATGACTAGAGCTTGACAGCTGATCTTTCCTCTAACTCTCACAGATCAACGAGAAAAAGGCTGGCTGATTTCATTCTCCAAATATCTTGATCACCAGAGCTTGACAGCTGATCTCTCCTCTGACCTAACTCTCACAGATCAATGAGAAAATAACTGGCTGATTTCATTCTCCAAATATCTTGATGACCAGAGCTTGACAGCTGATCTTTCCTCTGACCTAACTCTCACAGATTAATGAGAAAATAACTGGCTGATATCATTCTCTAAATACCTTGATGACCAGAGCTTGACAGCTGATCTCTCCTCTGACCTAACTCTCACAGATCAATGAGAAAATAACTGGCTGATTTCATTCTCCAAATATCTTGATCACCAGAGCTTGACAGCTGATCTCTCCTCTGACCTAACTCTCATAGATCAATGAGAAAAAGGCTGGCTGATTTCATTCTCCATATATCTTGATGACCAGTGCCTGGAAGCTGAGTATTCCTCCGACCTAACTCTAGCATCTCTTTGGGGGAAAAAACTGGCTGCTCACATTCAATGCCTCAAAGACCAAGCTAGTAACCTTTTACCATCACCGATCGGACCCAGAACTTTCACCAATCGTAATGAACAGACGTTCCTTCAGGGATGCCCCGTGCCTTGAGAGCCTACTGGGGCTTAAACTCACCCCAGACCTCAACTAGAACCCCTACATACAATCCATCTCTAAAGCCGATTTTGGGACAAATTGAGGGCAATACCACGGTTCCAAAATCGACTTGACATCTGATTAGTAGTTACATTTGTTATGACAACTAATTCCCAAAAAAGGAAATTATTTATGACTCATCTTAATATTTACTAATCGCTCATGTCTGGCACAAGCCAGAGGTATCCATACCACGCATGGCATCCAACTAGTTCAGTAATATCCAAACTACCATCTGGAAACATGCGTTTTCTCAGATATTGATCTGAAAGAAATGGTTTCAACGCATTCTTAAAAGGAATACTCCTTTTCCAAACCAAAATCTTCTTCCATGTGCCGTGTCCCTTCAGGACGTTGGCGATTATGGCCCCCACAATTTTCTGTCCTTTGTAGCTCTTAATAATTTTTGTCTTTTTGTCATCTCTCCCAAACCCTGCTCTGATATCCATTCAATCAAGCTGGCCAGGTAAATCACGTGTTGTTTTCCTCTCTCCCTCTTACTTTCAATCTGTCGTGTGTGTATCAAATTTTCCAAGCCCTCTTTCCTCATTATCCATAAATTTCACCTGTCTCTTTCTGATGTTAAATAGAAGTCTCCTTTTTGTTACCATTGTCTCTAGAACTTCTTCATTTGTCATTTATTCGGTCCATGGTATTCTCATTATCCTTCTGTAGAAACACATTTCTGTTGCTTAAAAATGTTGAAAGATTAAAAGCAAATGGTTAAACCAAAGCCTTCTTTTATTTACAATAAATAAATGCATAAATCATTTATCAAATTAAAATAAAATAACATATAATAATTACATTTGCAGTTATCGCTCTTTCCAGTATTGATCTAGGCTTCCCTAATGTAATGTTGGTAATTGTAACTTTAACCGTTTCCTTGTAAGGAAAAATTCGGCATTCATTGACCAAACAGCCGTTGCCACTGTCGATTGAAATTTATAAAATCTTTCTCTTCAAATAATTTTACTGGAAAATAGGTTTTTCAAGTCCAGTAGCTTTTATCGCTCTTTCCAGTATTGATGGGAGTTTCCTTCCTAACCTTTTGTTTGAAGTGGTGTGGAAGGTTAACATCTCGATTATGATATTACTTTCTTTTCGATTTACATGTGCTAGACATTTTACACCTTTTTCTTAGGACACATCTTTAGTAAAACAGGTTTCTCAAGTCCAGTAGCTTTTATACCTGTTTCCAGTATTGAGGGAGATTTCCTTCCACACTTTCTATTTGAAGTGGTGTAGGATGTTAAAATCTCGATTATGTCATTATTTTATCTTTCAGTCATATGCGATATCCATTTTAGCTGTTGCTTTGTTAAAAGTCTTCAAGTAATGTGGTTTCTGTTGACTAGTACAGTTCTTTGTGATCATGTAGCGCCAGTTCACAATGTTCGAAGTAGAATGCTACGAGAAAGCGGTTGTATACAGCTTACAGTTTAGATATTTCTAGGCTGGTTAGGCATCATGCATGACACCCAAATGAAAGCCGTGCCTATTTAAGTATTTGACTCGTGTTTTCGGGTTTTTGATTTGGTTTTGTAGCAGCTTGCGGTGTTGAGTAAAACTACCTTTAGCACAAACTATTCTATGTTCAATTTCCTTATTTCCTATACTAACAATTGATCCCTACATCGAGGTATTTGAAGTGTTTGGTATATTTACTAATTCCATATCCTGATCTTTTATAAATGGATTCAGGTTCGGTGCCATTACTGATTTCATTCCAATTCCAGATCATAGTTTCTCTTCTGGAAAAGTTTATCTTGAGTCTTATTTCTTGGAACATCTGGTAGGGGATGTCGATTTATTTGTTCAAGATCGTTATTATCCTAACCTTATCCCATGAATACCTGTATCATCAGCATAGTTACCCCACACACACACTCATCCTCAATACATTGGCCTCGGAAGAGCTAGCAAGATCGATGTTTTCTCTTAATTAATTCGTTTGAGATTTAGTATGAAATGCTTAAATAAACAATACCTATCTCTTCATACCTATGCTTGTCAATGAGCAGGATACAGTCTTGGAAAATATTAAATAGATCGGGGTTTTCATTTCCTTCTTGTCTCCTCCAAATCAGGTCTGAATTGTTTCCGTATTGGGAGTCCCCGTCAGACATGTAAGATTTTTGGATCGATAAAGTCTTTATTAGATCGATGCATTCAGTGCAATCAGGGTTTGGAAGGCGGTTTATAAAGGATGAGAAGCTGAAGTCTCTATTGATGTGGTCATAGGCTGCTTTGAAGTCAACACCAGTCCTTTTCAACGAGGAATTTCCCCGAGTACATGGAACCAGAGTTTTAAAAATTCTCTAGTTTTTTACTATAAACAGGTATTGTTGGTTGGTTGTTTTTTTATTAGCGGCATATCAACCTCTATAGGTTATTTAATGACGAAATCTAAATACCGTAACTCCTCATGTATAATACGCATTGTTTCTAAAAATGAATAAGCAAAATTAGGGGTGTGTATTATGCACAGATACAATTTTTTTTTCAAAAAATTGCCGTTTCATAGGTCGATTTCAGTTGCAAAATGACTACTTACCACAAACATACGACAATTTGACTCTAACGTTCAACATGCAATTGCGACCCCATAAGGATGTCAAATACAATCATAAGTACCTAACAATACTTACAAATGTAAAATAAAATAAGAATTATCATAAAACTAAATTAGAATAATATTATTCTATGTTTAAAGCCATTTTTAATAAGATTTTAAGGTTTTAATAAAAACGCTGGCCGTAATGAAATTGGAGGGGTACAATTTATAGGGTCTGATTACCAAACAAGGGGTGCATATTATGTGTGAGTAGAAGCATTTTCCCACACTTTCAGCACAATTTTAGGGTTGCGTATTATGGATGAAGGCGTATTATACATGGGGAATTACGGTATCTTGTACGTAATTTTATGCTTTCAACTACAGATATTTTGTAGACAATTTTATACTTTCAGGGTAAAGGTATGTTTTTTTTAGATATATAATTTGTAGGTCAAAAAATGTATTGCTAGCAATTTTGCTATAAAAATTTATTTTTATATATTTTATTGTTGCATTGGTTGTCATTTTGCTATAAAAATGTATTGTTGGTCATTTTATTATGAAAATGTACTGTTGATTTTTGTTTGAGGGGTTTCATATTTGTCTACAACTGGGACCCTAACAGGTGCTACCACTCCGGGTCAGGGTTAGGGTGGACCTGGGAAAAACAACAATTAAGAGGTGGCTCCATACTCCTCAAAACCTCCAATCTCCCGATCAGAGGCCTTGCTGCCGAATGTAGTTTATCGTCATACCCAGGACTGTTAGTAGGTTGGGTACCAATTAGCACACAGTTCAGAAACAATACCACTTTGTGTGTGCGTGTCTGTGCGTGTATGTACTGTATCCCCTAAGGCCATGTCTTTTAGGTTTGCTACACATTACAAATGGTTTTTACTTCTCTTATGCGTTGCGTTCCTTCAGGAAGTGAGTGATCATGGCTCTCCACAAGTTCCCGTCCCTTGTAGCTCTAAGCAACGTCTGAAACTTTACCATCCATCGTCTTCAGCTTGACCTCAGTTCACACAAACCCGTTAGATAGATTACTCCTTGTTTTCCTCTACTTATGTTGCCTTATATGTCCTGTGCGTGTCAAATGCTCTGAACCTTCTTTCCTCATTATGTGTCCCAGAAATGCCATCTACCTTTCTGATTGCAAGTGTCCCTTTAATTCCCGTTTTCCTTAATTTTTCCTAGTTTATTCATGTTTAGTCCGTAGTATTCTCAGCATCCTTCTGTAGAACCGCAGCTTTGTCGCTTCGTGTTTCTTCTTTATCCGTGAGAAAATTGTTCAGCATTCTTTGGCATATAGGAAGGTAGGTATGACAGGACAATTCAGCACCGTTTCTTGCAAAACGTTTCCCGTCTCTTAATATTTTGCTTAGCTTTTGGAAGGCATCTTTCGCTATTCTATCGGATTTCTGAACCACACTCTCTGAGGTCTGTTACTACATTACCCAGATAGTTAAATTTCTCTGCCAGCTTGATTTTTAAGTTTCCGATGAATAACTCACACTGTTTGGCTGTTTATTTTAGAAACACTCCTTCTCTTTTCGACTTCTACAGCAACAATTTCCACTTGCAGAACTCTAACAATCCTTTAAGTTAAAAAGCAAATGAACGATGCAATATAATAACAGCACCAAGTAGAAACTTATGAAGCTTTATTAGACTAAGCCATATTTAGCGCTGAATAAAGGTTATATTTCTTGTGGTGGAGGGTTACAAGCAAGAGGGGATATGGGATGTGCTTTTATTACCACACAGGAAAATAAAAGTGTATACAATGAGTAGACATGTTTAATAAAGAATTTAACTAGATTAAAGACAAATTTAGAATAGCCCAACTCTCCACTGGCAGCCATTAACCTTGTCCCAAAACAATTACTCTAGACTGGTCAACGGAGATCTGTTTTCATTGCACTACCTCCTTGTTCTACTTAAAGGAGCGTACTTTGATATCTACGTCGATGGCCAAGGAAACCAAATATTTATGACGCCAAAGGGCTCAAAGGGTTAAGAATTTTTTTTACCCTGGGAGGGAATGACAGAAGACGGAACGTCACATATCTTATCACGAATATTAAAAAAGGAGCATAAAATAAACAAACAAAACTCGTAACTACTAAGACAAATTTGAAAGGAACAAACATTTTTATTACATAGACATTAAAACAATATATAAAATTCTGTGACTTCTGTTAGTCCGTCCGTCTGTCACACTCTCTCTAAAATATCCATACATTGACCGATCAAAACCAAATTTTGGGGAGAAATGCAAACAGGTAAGAGGGTACAATTTTTATGCAGGTTCATTGTACTCGTGTCGTAAATGCCCAGCCACCGGTTGAACAGTGGTAGGGAAAAATGACGTAATATCCAGCCACCGGTTGAACGGTGGGTAAACACTTGTAACTATTTTTATATCTACCGTGAAACATTACATACCAATTATTTGCGAATTATGACCCAGGAGCTCAGGCAGAAGGGTTAAAATTGTTCAGGAACGCAGGGCTCAGAGGGTTAAAAATAAAAACATTTTGTATTTTGCATTCTGGGAATTTACTTTGTTCTTTTTGGAAAACATAAACAAATACAAAACAAAACAAAAAAACTCGCAAAAATCAAGCAAAAAAAAACCAAGATGTAAAATATTTTATATATGCTATGCCTCTTCAGGGAGTGAATGATCATAGCTCTCCCCATCTTCCTCTGAGCAACGTTGATTCTTTACTGTCCCACTTTATCTGCCATTCCGTTAGATTGCTCGTTGTTTCTCTCCACACATCCTGTTTTCAAAATATCCTGTGAGGGATAAATTCTCCGAACCTTCTTTTCTCATTGTACCACAGGAGTTTCAAGTGTCTCTATTTGATTTTAAGTATAGCAGTCCTTCGAGGTTACATTTTCTTTAAAAGCTCACATGTTCACTCCGTGTTATTCCCAGCATCCTTCTGTTGAAGCACACGCCTATTGTTTTCGAGTCTCTTTTTCATCTGTAAAGAAATTGTCCAGCATTCAATGTCATATAGAAGGATAAATAAAACAGAGGTATTCAGATCTATTTTTCTTTATTTCTAACGAAATGTTCCTATCTCTTTATACTTTGCTTAATTTTTGGAAGGCAACTTTCACTATTAAAATGCACGGTGTCAAATATTTCCGTCGTATCTTACTACAATACGCTAAGTCGTATCTTACTACACTACACTACGTCGTATCTTAATACACTACTCTACGCCGTCTCTTACTACAACACGCTACGCCGTCTCTTACTACAATACGCTACGTCGTCTCTTACTACACTACACTACGTCGTATCTTACTACAATACGCTACGTCGTATCTTACTACAATACGCTACGTCGTCTCTTACTACAATATGCTACGCCATCTGTTACCACACTACGCTACGTCGTCTCTTACAACAATCCGCTACGTCGTCTCTTACTACACTGCGCTACGTCGTCTCTTACTACACTGCGCTACGTCGTCTCTTACGACAATACTCTACGTCTTCTCTTACTACACTACACTACGCCGTCTGTTACTACAATACGCTACAGTTCTATCTTACTACAATACGCTACGTCGTCTCTTACTACACTACGCGGACAGATAAATTCCTCTACCTGTCTCATCCGTTTAGCTTATTTTATTAAGATAATATCCGCCGATAATAAATCCTGGTAAATCTTCTAATTCTCTCAGAATAATCTCGTTGTGTAGATTGAATAAAAACGGTGAGAAAAAAGAATCCTTGTTTGCGCTCTCTTAGTTTTACTAATGAAATACGAAGAGAATCTCTGAGTATTCCGTTTTACAAGTCTTCTTTTCATCATTTTATCACAAAAATTTCAACTGTCTTTTTTTCTTGTATTTTAAGCATATGTGTCCTTCAAGTTCACGTTTTCTTTAAAACCACACATGCTCACTTCACCTCTTATTGTTTCGAGTCTCTTCTTTATCTGTAAGGAAATTGTACAGTATGCAATGCCATATTTTTTTACTTGATTCTCCCGTCGTTTTCGACGTATCAGGATCAAGCAACTCAGTTCCAAGGAACCGACAGCCAGACACCTGCACATATGACTTGATTATAGTGGTGAAGGTTTTGTGCAGAACCAACCACAGTTTTTGATAAGCCGAGTACAGAGACCTGATGCACCGTGTGCCACAAATTCTCCAAACGACCCTCCGCAGGTTTTGAATTCATAGCGGCTCGGATTGAGGAATCGGGGAGCCGAGTTCGAATTCCAGTCGAATCCATTACATTCACTTACGTGCTAATACCCTTAGGAAAGATATGAATCCTCTTCCCCCCATCTATGGGTAAATAGCAGAACAGGCTGGGTTCTATAGCCTTGGATGGCAACTGGTCTAGGAGAGGGACAACGTCATATAGAAGGATAGATACAAAATAGATATTTAGAAGTCTTTTCTTTGTTCTTATTTCTTTATACTTTATTTAGTTTTTGGAAGATAGTTATTCAAATGTCTTCAGATTTTTGTGTCAATTTTTGACGTTGTCTGTTATTACACTGCCGAGTTAGTTAAATTTATTTACATCCATTTTAACATTCCCAGTCTCCATTAAGAAAAGTAAGATTTTTTTTATTAATTTTCCTTCTTCCTTTTTCTTTTCAAATTTATCCTTCTATTTCAGCTGGAACGAAATTAAACACATTATTGTAGATTTTACTGTATACGCGTGTAATGTTTTGCAAGTAGCATAATAAAACAACATGAATTCGTCATTCCAAACTGTTGCTTATCTTACAGTGATTCCGATCAGAAAGTTTGCTGAATGAAATAAAGTTTCACAAAAGGAAGGGATTAATAATAAATAAATAAATAAAAACATTTCTGAATCTTGATTCTATTTCTAAAGAAAAACAGAAAAAAATCTTATAGACGCTTTACACCAACGATTTATGCTTACAAAAACTTGGTCGGCGCCGACTTGCGAAAAACCAGATTATCTCTCAGGGCAAATGAAATCCCAAACGTTCGTTTTTATTGTTCTCTTTTGCATATGGCTTATCTTTTCCTCTTCTACATATTATGAATTTAAAAAAAAATATTTTCTTATTATCCATTTATTTTGTTACCATTATCATTATTGTTATTATTATTTTTTTTTCTGTTCTTCCTTTACCCTTGTCTCTACACTTGTCGTGACGTCAGCACCCCTACGCCGTCCAAAACTCAGTGTTTCAAAATAAAGCCTTGATGCCGACCGGAACAAATTGTTATGTCATGGCGGCCGATTAGCTGTACCACGTGACAAGCGTCTCGTTGACGGCGGCCACCAAAGAAAGTCGTCTGATCTTGCGATAATTATACGATGAATTAATCACGTGGTATTACCGCGTTTTTACCTCTTCTTTCTTAACAAATCACTGTACTATGATAATAACATATAAAATCGCTTGGATCCTGGCCTTGTTAATATAGTTCACTTTTTACTCATATCATTCTTACCGTTCGTGTTTTGTCTGTTCTAGTTATCCGCCATTATTTTTCTGTCAGTCGCTTTGTTTGTTTTTTTTTTTTTGTTTTTTTTTGTTGTTTTTTGTTTGTTGTTGCTTTTTTGTGCCCTTTCCAGCGTTTCTTTTCTTTTTTTTTTCTGTCTTTCTTATGTTTTTCTTTGATTTTCTTAACTTTTTAAAATTATCTAGATTAATCTTCCTTTATTTTTGTTGTTATTATTTTTTAGTTTTACAGTCTTCTACCTTTTTTTCGGTTGTTCATTAATTCTTATAGTCGATTTTACAATTTTAAATACTCATCCCCCCCAAGACGATTCCTGCCTGTTTGCGTTTCAATGAACTCTCCTCTTTCACTTCAGAACGGAATTGGTTCAAATTGCAATAAACTTTTACGATGTCCGCTTAAGGCTTGGTTTATTTTATCGAGAATCTATTTTGAATTAAATTCACTATCAGTGGCTCGAGTGATGTAACACTTATCAACGCAAAAAGTCGAAACAGCGAGCCGAGTTCAAATTCCAGCTTAGTCGCTTTGTACGCTTTCGCACAAGTTCCCTTGGGAAATGCATGAATCCATCTCTTCCTTCCGAGTCCCACCATAGTGGGTTAAATAATAAGGCAAGCTGGGCTCTCTAATCTTGGGTGGCAACCAATTTATGCGAAGAAAACCGTTTAATTCTAAACGGTAGAAAAAGCTGTAGGGTAGTACTGCGTTATCTTTCCGAAGAGGTAATGGCAATTCTTAGATAATAAAGATAGTCGACAATGGTAAGAGAGAATTTAAACAGAATCATTTTTAGCGTAAAAAACTGAAGAGAGATGTTTGTAAGCACCTTGCTGTTAACCAGTTGAAATGCCTATATGTAACCGTAAGTTCTATGCTAACAGTTTCTTCTATTGCACTTCTCGCTTGTGCAACTCTCTCCCGGCTTCTTGTTTCCCAGTCAACATTCATCTTGAAAAATTTAAATCCAATGTCAATCGTTATTTCCTGTCTTCTAATTCCGGTTTCTTTATTGTCCTCTCTCCTTAATAGTATATTTTCTCATATTCTCTAATATTTAATGTTGCATAGCCTCTTCGTTCTGGGGAGATCTTGGTTGACGGGGTCGATTCCATTACGTTGTATCTTCTCTCGCTCGTCTTCTGGCCGGGCGTCGAAATGTTTTTGGAGTCCGGAGATAAAAGACATCAACAAAAGGAATTTGAAATCTTATGTATTTTATTAAACACTTCGACGTGTACATTTCTAAATAGCCAGTAGGGTCGCTCTATCACCCCCACTGGGGAGTAAGTTCCCCGAGACGCGAAATAACCTCGTCTACTGTGTATGACGTTGAAAAACTTAACTCCCTGAAATCACTTTCTATTTCTCTAACATTCCCACGCTAGTTTTAACCAATCAAAAACGACTTCCACTGTTTTGTCTACCATCTGACTTTAAAGGTTAGCCACAGAATGCCTGATCTAAAATGCACTGCCACTAAAAAATAAGTCTGAAACTATTATCTAACAGCGACAAGATGCATGGAACAAGCACATTATTACGAAATCATTGTGCCATCAAATAATAACCTACAAATGCTTCAAAGGGAAATTATACAGAACAATTTAACTATATTATGATGCAATACCTTATACAGTTTTAGTGCGATTATCAATAAACAATGCAAATTTAAAACATTTTTCTCATAATTTGGTCTTAGCAGTATTATAGTGTTATATACATTTTTATCTTTTTTTATTAATTATGATCTAACAACTCATATTCATTGAGTAGCCTTTTGTAATCTTTTACAATTATTTTACGGTTTTTATTAATCGAATACATTTTAAAAATCCATATTTTGCTTGTGGCGATTCATAATTAGAATTCTGGTTTGAATGTATTTTACATTCAATGTATCTAACACAAAAAAATATCAACTGTATTCATGAAATATTAAAATTTTGAAGTCTGTTTGGAAGCAAAAACCTGCGGAAATTAGATATTTCTGAACATTTTTTCAGGCGTACTTTCAAGCGAATTCTTAGAAATTGGTAAAAGCTATGGATCTGATTTTTGGTGTCAGTACTTATCACATGAACGCACAGCTTTCACCCATCGTGGTTCATTGTATATATATATATATATATATATATATATATATATATATATATATATATATATATTAGTAATGATACAATATGGTAATCCGTATGGAATTTCCAGGAGGATATAGACCCAGGGAGAGTTTTATGTCAAATGACAGAGCAAAATTATTATTAATTAAGAATATCAAACAATTAAAATCACATAGTTAATAATTTTTATTTCATGAGAGCTCTAAATTTTTCCCAGCAACTCTCAATTTTCAAGGCCTATAAACCTTTTAGAGTTCTCATGAAATAAAAATTATTACCTACTGGATTTCATATGATTGATATTCTTTAATTAATATATATATATATATATATATATATATATATATATATATATATATATATATAGATAGATAGATAGATAGATATGGCTCGGATTCAACAGTATTTTTTTATATTTTTTATCTGTTCATAATCTCTCTCTCTCTCTCTCTCTCTCTCTCTATATATATATATATATATATATATATATATATATATATATATATATATATATCAACGTTTTCTTATTCGTGTCTGTCTATCTATCTATCTATTTATCTATCTATCTGGCATTCTGTTCCTATTTGAATTTCGCCATCAAATTTTTCACATTTTCAGGTTTTGCGAATAACACACGTATAATGAAAACATAAGTGCGAATAACTTAAAAAACACACAGGAAATCACACAATCACACATAAAACCTGCGCATACATGTGAAGACGCATTCTAACATTGCTGTTTGTTTAGATATATATGGTCTCTTTATGGGCGGGCGGGAAAGCAAGCAAAATATTCAAGGGGCAGATAACTCTATTGTGTTGAAGTCATTCTTAAGGGGCGGAGCGCTCGTGGGCGGAGTCTAGAAGGGCAAGAGAAACTTTCAAATGACTCCCTTTTCTTTTGTCTATTTTGGTGCGTGTCTGCGTGTTTAACAGAATTTTGAAAAGAATGAATTTTATGAAATTCAATTAAAAAGACGTTCGCAATTCTCTTTCGCCTGACAAAAGCTTCGTAAACAAAATACACACGCATTAAAGAATGTACATTCATCTGCCTATTTTTCAGTACGCTGTCAGTAAATAAATAGAAGTATAAATAATAGGCTTTTTTGTTTAAATTTTAGAGAATAAAGCAAGGGTATAAAGAAGAACGGATGGAAATAAACACACACAAACATATATATATATATATATATATATATATATATATATATATATATATAGACAAACATATAAGTAATAATTACATGAAGAAATATTCTTAAAAAAACAATGAATATATTTTTATAAATATTGTTTTAAGTGCTAATTATCGCTGCGTCGCAAAGTGAATAACATAGTTTTTGATAAAACTGATAGATTGATTCATTTTTACGGCTTATCAACCCATTGCAGGTTATTTAAGGACATAAAATATTTTTAGATTGTAAGAATATTTTAGACAATGTTTTAGTGATACAAGTCTTACTAATTAACCCATACTTGGGGAAAAAGAGGTCGATTCATATGTAATCTGAATTTTATAAGCAAACAAGAAATTATAAAGTGAATGTAAAGTGGGGGATCCATTCTATATTACAATCAATTTAGCTTTGATTGTTCTGTCTGTGTGTATTGTAAAGTCCCAAAATTGTTACAGGTCCTATCTCCGTAATCCCGAGGCTGAGTGGTGTTCATACGAATTTCTTTCAGTTTTCTTTCCTCTCCTTATTATTATTATTATTATTTGTGCATATTATGTTTCCTGCTTTGTATCCTGTAGAGCCGGGTTCCAGCTATGGTCCTTACGCCCTATAGAAGAATTGTCATTTAATAGATAGTACCTTTCTTAGTATATAGGATGTTACTAGTAAGGCGGTCTTCTGGAGAACATGTATGTCGCTTTTTTTTTTTTTTTTTGTATAATTTCAGGGTACATTAAGTTGTTTCTTGAAGAGTGCAGCTTCTTTGTTGATGGACTGAATTTGGTGTTTAACCATTTGTAGGAGTGGGTAATTGGATTTTGCGAGGTATGCTTCAACCCGACTGTGTAGTTTTTAGAGTTAGTTCAAGCCTCGGCTTCCTAAATCTCTCAGCCAATCAACATCTGATTTCGGGTGGTGCATCCTCATTTGGGTAAGCATTTCTCTGACCTTGGCGTCCAATCTTTTAATGTCATTCAACTTCGATTTAATAATGTTGAAGCTGTATGTTACTACGGGTATAGCTAAGGTGTTGATAGCCTTCATTTTATTGGCCCCATTTAGTTCGCTTTTTAGTATCATACGCAATCTTCTATTATTCTTATTATTATTTCCTTGATTTCATGGCATTTTCACTTGGCAATTTTGAAAAAAAATCACAGATATTTTACATAGATAAAGCCCTTCGTAAGGTGTGGGTTATACTTGTGAGTACAATATTTTGTATTTCTTTAAGGCATGGGCTACCAGGGATTTCTTCAATGAGTCTATTGGCTCTTTTCCAAACAATCCGAGGCTCCAACTACAACAGGGATTGTTGATGTTCTCATGTGCCACATTTTTGAGATTTCGATTCCAAGGTCATTGTATTTTGATATCTTTTTGAAGATCTTCAAAGATACATTGCCATCTGCAGGGAGTGTCGTCTGACAGTCCCTGCAGACTGCAATAAGTTGGCACTTTTTGTCTTTGCGGTCTCTAATAACAATGTCTGGGCGATTAACTTTGATTATTCTGTCTGTGAGTATTGTGAAATCCCATAAAATTATTGCACGTCCTATCTCGGTAACTGGGTCTTGGTGGTGTTTATACGAATTTATTGCAGTTTCCTTTCCGTAAAAGTTGCAGATTTTCCAGTGCAGATATTGGCCCACTCTGTCATGCCGGGTTTTATATTCAGTGGGTGCCAATACCGTGCAATCTGATACAAGATGATCAATTGTTTCTGGATATTTATCACAGAATCTCCATTTTGAGCTAACAATTTTTCAGTATGTCTGAAAATTTTTAGTTAGCAAGAATAAAATCTTCGGTTTCAGCCTTTGACCTTGTACTACATAGCCACTGATGGGTACGAGGTTTGTCTATAGC